AACGAGAGAGGTGTTTTCATAACAGAAATGCCTGTTGAGAAATCCACGGCTGAGCAGTCACGTGTCCTGTGCCTCCTGAGTGCTGTAATGCAGGAAAATATCTTTGTACAATATTGGCCTTTTAGGAAGAATGTAAACAGGTTTTTATTTTTATAGTATTTTGCAATTAGCATGGCTGACAAACTTCTTTCTTGTTGCTGAGCCAAAAATAGAGCATAAAATCTAAAATGGAAAAATAAACTGTGAGGAAAGATTTTAATCCAGCACTTACCATCTGTGAGCTCTGCTCCACTGAGCTGATCATAAAACTTCCACTGGTTTCTTTTCTTTCTGCTTTCCTTTTTTCTTAGTTTTCTGTAAACTGAGGTGAAATCTTTTGTTCTCCCACTGCAGTTTCTGGCCAGTTGTCTGCATTTGGTGGCTTTTTGGCCGTGTCACCTTTGTGCTCTGTTGCTGTTCTGGGTCAGTCATATGCAGCATTGTCCACCTGGAGCTGAGAACAAATGAAAGGCCCTTTAATTACCTGATTGCAGAGCTGGGGGCCACACAGAAGCTTCAGCATTCCCCAAACCTCTGAGCCCCCATCCTGGATTGATCTGCTGCCGTGGGGTGTGGGGCTGCCTTGCTCCAGAGGAGGATTTTGGCTGCCTCAGCCTGGGTGCTCTCTGTTGCACCTGGTGGTGTTTGGGAGCAAACAAGGTTCAGTCTTCTCTGCTGGCCCTGCAGAGTTGCTGCTGTCTCTGTGTCCCCAAGCCAGCAGGACTGAGAGTGAGCAGCTGTCCCTCTCTGCTGCCCATGGGAGCTGGGGTCACTGCCCGTTGCAAGCAAGAGGCACAGCAAATCTTAGTTAAGATGACTTGCATTGTTAATTGCAGTTAGTGTTTTTTCTGCATAACTGGAATAAAGAGAACATCTGAGGAGGACAAACTCAGAGGATAATGTGAGTTAGAGTTGGGAAGGGGTGGGGAGAAAGACCAGGAGGGTTCCTGCAAGCCTGGGGTTTGTTTGCAGTAGGGAAGAATGACTGAATTACATTTTTACTGAGAACAGACACATCTGGATCTTGGGCAGGTCAGTGGTGAGAAAGGATTGGGAGTCTTGGGTGCTGCTGAGAGGGAAATGGAGCAATCTGAATTTCTTTGGGGTGTTAAGTTTCAAGTCTAGAGCAGTTCAGTGCAGGGAATGTGTCAACCTGTAGTAACTTTCTCTCTGATCCAGGTAGCTGGGAAAGAAACCCAATGGCAAAAGAAGCTGGTGCCTGTACTTTTATTGAAGATCAGAGGAAAGGGCTGGAAATTTATCTGGAAAATATTGAAATGTGCTGAAATGTTTTGCCTATATAAATAAGTGTGTTTATAAAGAGTTGAAAGACAGCTTTCTATATTCATCAGCATTAATGCTTTGGAATAGTGTTTGTGGAACTGTTGCACTGTTTTGTAAGCAGCCTGGAGTGACTCCTGGCTCTCTGGGCTTGCAGAGCCCTTCACACCTGTGCAGTAAAAGTTAAATATATTGTCATGAAGCAGCATGAAATGTCATGCAGCTCAAACAGAGCAGGCCAGTGACAACCTCTGTGTTCCCCCAGGTCAATGTGGCCATCAGGTCATCGCTGCAGAGCCTCAGGGAGAAGATTGAGCAGCTGAGGGAGCTGCTGCTGCGGGCAGTGTCAACACGCCAGATGTATCTGTAAACAGCAGCCCTGCCCCTCTGGGCTTGGGGCAAAATGTGCTCTCATTCCTCTGCCACTGGGTTTCCCCTCATTCCCTTTGCAGGAGACTTTGTCACCAGAACTTTCTCTGTGCTGCTGGCTGTTATTTTTATGGCAGCTGCAGCACAGGAAGGGCTGGGCACCTCTGGGGTGCAGCCAGGGAGTGAACCTGGCTCTGGTCACCTCTGTGTCCCCATCCTTAACAGGATGGGCTGAGAGGAGCTCAATGAGATGTCTGAGATGTCTGAGCCACCTGAGAGCTGCCCTGGTGCTGTCTGTGCTGTGCAGGCACTGCCAGTGTATGGGCAAGGTCACTTGTCTAGCACCAAACTGACCAGGTGGCATTGTCTCCTGGCATTGTCTCCTGGCATTGTCTCCTGGCACTGTCTCTTGGCCAGGCCTTGCTGAAAGGAAGGAGAAGCTTTGTTCATACTGTGGCAGGGCTGGGGTATCCTGATTTTGTCTGACTTGAGAAACAACAGGGCTGCAGCTTCACACTGATATCAAACTGCAAATACGCCTTGGGAGGAAATCTCAGTTTTTTTTTCTAGGAGTGTTACCCCAGGGCTAGACTGGGATATGCAGGAAGAGCCAGGTTAAGGAGTCCCAGGCATGTCCATCTCCCTGAAGACATCCAGAAGCAGTCTAGTTTGAGGGAGGAAAGTTTAATTTCAGCCTAGCACAGCAGAAATCCCTCCTGAGCCCTGAGTGCTGTGTGGTGGCCAGAGCTGAACTCCCCAGCCCAGTGGCTGCTTGAGCAGGCAGATGCTGCTGCTGTGGCAGAAAACACACACAGACCAGTTCAGCCATTGCTGAACACATTCAGCAGTAGAAGAGAGAGTTAGAAGTCCCTCAGGATGTCACTAAGGTTAATGAAGAGAAGCCCACAGAGCTCCCCTGTGGAAGCCACAGCTCTTTAGAGGCACTGTGTGAATTGTTCCTCTGCTCCCCAGCGGCTGTCGGGTGCTCTGCTCATGGATTGCAAGTGGAAACAGATGCTCAAAGGAAAATACTGTTTTTTCTCTGATCCCATGGCTGGGAGCTGCTCCCCTGGTCTGTGTGAGGAGCCTGCAGTGAAGTGAGATGAGAAATCCCCTGCTGATCTGAAAGGCTGTTCTGCCTGGCCCTGCCCTGCTGGTGACAGTGCAGTTTGGAGCTCTTTTAAGAAATCTCCTCCTTCCCTGAGCTTACCCTGTGCAGTACTGTAACATTGTCAGTGTTGGAGACCAGCAAATAAACAAAGAATGACTTTGGTTGGATTTTGGAGTGGGAAATGCTATTCTTAATGCTAATTTGGCAGTAAATGTCCTTTCAGTTCTCTAATTACTTTGAGATGATGACAAAGATCATTCTATGGCCACTGTATGAAACCTTTTGTTTGAGATATGTAAAGATCAGAAACACATTTAGAATAACAGCAGGTTTCATTCACAAAAATGTGACCAATCCTCTTAGATCTTGGAGCCTTTTTTTTTTTTTTTTTTTTTTTTTTTTTTGTTAAAATGGTTAATTTTGATGATCAGGGAGTCTAATTTATTTTAAGAATGTGTAACAAGTGTTATTTTATATGATGAAATGAAAGCTTTTCGGTGTTTCTGAGTTTGGTCCTTAACCCAGAGCCATCAGCACACAGCTGGAGGGAGACAGGAGGCAGAATTTGGTGGACGAGCTCCTGACACGGCACAAACAGCTCGAGGCATCCTACAGGAACGAGGGCCCGGAGCCAGACGTGAGCAGGTACGGCACTGTCCCCCCAAATCCCAGCAGGGTCTGTGCTCTGGGTGCATCTCAGGTGCTAACTGAGCTGGCTGACCCCTGCAGGTAACAGCAGGAGATGGATTTGCTCAGAAGGGATGTGTTTGTGTCCCTGGCAGCAGATTCCTGGCAGCGCTGTGAGTGGCAGCTCCTGGGCACTGGTTTTGGTGGCACTCAGAGTTCAGCTGGGAGTTTCCTGCATTCCTGTGTGTATTTATGTTTGCTGGGGGCCTCTTCAGTGAGGTGGGGAAGGGTTTGGCTTTGGTGCTTGTGTTCCCTGGTGTGTTTTACACCCAAAGCTGGGCTGCCCTTGTTGCCCAGAGCAGCTGGGGCTGCCCCTGGATCCCTGGCAGTGCCCAAGGCCGGGTTGGGCACTGGGGCTTGGAGCAGCTTGGGATTGTGGAAGGTGTCCCTGCCCATGGCAGGATGATCTGCAAGGTCCTGCCAAGCCAAACCATTCTCTAATATGTGACTGTGATTTGTTTGTCATCTTTAGGTATCTAGACAGCAGGGCAGCACCTGCTGCAGGTGATAAACCTTCAGGCTGGGCTTGAACCCAAACAATTGTTCAAGGTTTGGATTCTCCAGAGCTCAGGGCAGCTCCTGTTGTTGTGTTGGCTCTTAAATCTATCACTGAGTCACCCAAAACATGTAAAACAGCCAGGAGGCAAAATGTGGGGCTGTGATGTGGGAGAGCTCCTGTGTGTCCCCTGCTCTGAGCAGTCCCTGAGCTGGTGTAGCTGTTGTGGCCATCCCTGCTGTGGCAGGGCAGTGGTGGCAAGGTGCTGCTTCAGGGGTTCAGCCTTGGGCTGCCCCAGCCAGAAGGTGTTGAGGCAAATGGGAGGAAAATACCAAAATCCCATGATAATTTCAAGCCCCATTAGAAACAATCAAGGAATCCAGTATTTTCCAGCAGAAGATAACATCAGAGTATTTATTTGCTAGTGTTGCAAGGCTTGATGTTTTATAGTTCTCTTTTAACTTCTTTTATTAAAAATGTATAAAACTATGCCAAATATTCTGTCTGGTGAGTTCACAGCTCTTCCATGGTCTCCCCTGTGGCTCTGGGTTTCAGGGGCTCAGGCAGAGACAGCTCAGGCCTTGAGTTTTGTGCCAGGAAATCCAACTTTGCTCTCTTGCCTGAGCCTGGGCTCTGTGTGGGTCTGTAGGGAAGGGGCTTGGAGAGATCTTGGAAGGACTTTGGAGGATCTTGGAAGGATCCTGGCAGGACCTGGCAGGAGCTGGTCTCAGGCAGGGAGCCCCCAGGGTCTGCAGGGCTCAGCTCCCAGCTCAGGGTCCCTCTGAAATCCTTGCAGAGTCCTGGCCCAGCTTTGGGATTCCGGAGGTGGCAGAGCCCACCCTGGAATGTGCCTGGAGCTGACACTCAGCTTTTCCCTGCATTAGAAAAATCAGCACCTGGAGTTTGATGAAGCTGAGCAGTGACACTTGCCTGGCTTGTGCTGCTTTTCCATATCTAATCCAGCCCTGATGTGACAGCCCACGGTGCCCAGGTCCTGCTCTTGCCAGCAGCCCTTCCTTTCATTAAGCTTCCTGCACCACTGATCACATATTTATTGTCCCAGGGCCTGGGGCTGGGAGGTTTTCCCTGGAATTAAGCTGCTTTGCGTTTGGTCACCACTCAGTGAGTTTTACATCCTTTGAAAGCTGCTCTGAAGCTGTTTCTGGGGTGCAGGGCTGTGCTTCCATGCTCTCAGGGTTGATCCCAAGTGACAACTGCAGGCAGGACGCTCCGTGGCTGGGGACAGAATTCCTGCCCCTTCTGGCCTTAATTAAGGTGCCACTGGAATTTTCCAGGGCAAGGTTGTGCTGTTTGCCTGCCTCCCCTTGAGCAGGGCTGGTTACATTTCCTTTAACTGTCTTGTAATAACAATTTCAGTATCTTCTGCCCCCTTTCTCCTTGGGAGAGATCTGTGCAGGTTGTCAGAGCAGGGGCTTTAATGGGGCAGAATTCCCAGGGTTTCACTCCATTCCAAAGGCAGGGGTGGGAAAAGCAACCAGGAATGTTGGCTTTCTGGATGTCACATGTCAAACTTCTAGAGTATTTAAACATTTGTGGAGACAGGAATGGCAATATTCCTGCTCCTGTCTGACCAGGTCTCAGGCTGGAGAAGCCCATGTCAGTCACCAGAGAATCAATAAATTAACTGGCCTTCCTCGATGTCTCTTGGAATTCCTCAAAAATAAAGGCAACTTCTGGTGTTTGTGGGACACAAAGCACCTTCAGTAAGAGCTACCCAGGTACATTTTAGAAGAGTCTATATTTTTTTTCCTCTTCAGTGTGGGTCACCATTTTTCCTGGTTGAACACTTTCCTGACAGATGGAAGGTATTTCAGCCTTGATCCAAACAGGAATTTTGCCTGATGCCAAACAGGCTTCAGTCCATGAGTGCCTGGTTTCAGGTGTCAAATGCTTTTGGGAATGTGGCTGTGGTTTGTGGGGGGCAAGTGCTCTTGAGGAAATGAGATCAACAGGAGTTGTTTAGGGTCCTGTGGAAGTCCTTCCTGGTGTCCTTCCTACCTCCCAGCTCCTGCTGCAGCCTCCTGAGCTGGGATGGGGCTGGCCTCAGTTCTGGAAGGGTGGAAAAGAGGGAATTGTCCATCCAGGAGAAGACCTGAGTGCCAGGATCAGATCCAGGGTTGGGCTGGGGCTTTCCAGGACTGATCTGCCTTTGGCTGTGTGGTCAGGATTGCCCAGCACCCTCCTCAGCCAGCACCTGCAGCTCCCAGTCCTTGAAGCAGTGGGACCAGTGAAGCCAGCCACAGGGAAATGGTGTCAAGAGCAACATGGAATTTCCGGGAACATGGGAATAGCAGTTCTTGTGCTGGTGGGGCTGCAAGTCCTCTGCCAGATGCAGGGAATGCTGGAGGCTGCCCATCAGGAGAGGTTCTTGTGGGGAAATCTCCACCTGGGACAGTGCCTGGAGGGGATTTTGGAAGGGCCTCTCATGGGTTTTTGGAGAGATAGTGACGATTTCTGTTTCGTATTTTAAAATTATGTTTGTTTTATTTATTAGCTTGGAGCTTCCTAAAAATACAGAGTGAGCACTGTAAGTGAGAGAATGCCCCAGTGCAGCAGCAGCCCTGTGGAGAGTGACCTGTGAAGCCAGGCTGGGGTGTCCTGGGTGCTTCAAAGAGCCCCTCTGTAGTTCAGGGAATGTTAAGTGATCATCCACCCAATTGTCATATGACCCAGGTTTTGTTTAAGACTCAGTCTTGCTGATCAGTCTTGTGAAGCCCTAAGCCTTGATGTGTGGCCTTGGCCTAAAGTAAGTGCTGGTTGAGTAATCTAAGTTACTTGGGAGGTGTTCGAAGAATTATCAGTGAAACAATAAGACAAGCCCTCCCTTGTTAGGCAGTGCCAGAGCTCCCTGATTTTAAACCCCATCACCTTTTATACTCGGGCGCATTGCTGAGCCTTGTAATTACTTAAATCTGCTCCCATCATCAAAAGCCATCCCCACACTCCAGTGAGGCTCCCAAGATTTGTGTGATTAACTTGGCGGAGGCAGTGGGTGGCTAATTGGATAAGCTTTAATCTTCACACCAGCCAGGCGAGGCAGGGCAGGATCAGAGGCAGGAGGAAGTTCTGCTGGGCTGTGTGGGAAGGCAGTTACCAAACATGTCACAAAGATTATTGTAACCAGCAGACCACTTGTCATGACCCAACCTACAAGAATAGGGCACAGCACTGGTGGGAGGGAGAGAGACAGAGCCGCAAATTATTTCAAATTTGCTTGCCTTGGCTGTTTTTTAACAGGCAGAAATAGTTGTGCTCTTTTTAACAAGCAGAGAGCTTTATGTTCCCTTTGCTTTAGTTAAACAGCTTTGTCAGGTGTTGTTACCCTGGATTTTGTGTCCTTCTAATTGAACTGAATTGGGTGAGCTGCAGAGATGTTTCCATCTTCAGCAGTGTAATGCTTCTGTCATGTTCACAAACCTGCTGCCAGTTGTGAGACTGGGAGGTAAAAGAGCATATTTAATCCCCCAAAGTAGGGAGGAAAGCTGGGTGATGTGTAAAACTGCATTCCTGCTGTAAGTTTTTCTAATCAAACCTGATTGCCAGCCTCGATAAACACATGGGAATTGGATGGATGGAGGTGCAGGGCTGGAATGCAGAGGAGTCCCAGCTCCTCTCTGCTGTTGCCCTTGACACCCAGCTGGTCGTGGCACAGCAGGGCTGGCTCTGCTTTGGTGTTCAGCATCGCTGGAGTGGTTAAGGGAGATGCTGAGATTTATAAAAAGTGCTTTTTTTAGCCACTTTTATTAAAAAAATGTTTGTTTTTTTTTCTTTCCATTTTTCATTCTGACTTTGCCTTGAGCTGGAGTGCAGTGCCCACGTTGCAGTGGCCAGGGAGAGGAGCTGAGGAGCTCTCGTGTGTGGCTGATTTTCCAGCAGTGCTGCTCTATCCCACGGCCAGGAGATGTCCCCAGCTGCCCGGGATTCCTGCAGGAGCTCCGGGCCCAGCTCTGGGCTGTGCTCAGACACCTCCAGTGCCAGCAGGGCCCTGACCCCTCCTGGCCCCGCTGTCCTTGGGCACAGTGACCTCCTGGCCCGGGGCTTTGGCCACAGAGCGATGTCAGCAGCTGTGGGCACCGGGCAGCATCTCTGCAGAGCAGCTCCATCAAAACTCAATTCAAAACACCAAAACAACTGCAACATTCCAATTTATGTTGTGGTGTAACTAAAAATCATTGAGAATTTGAGAGATCCTAAAAACTCTCTCTGTTCTTGGGCTGTTTGTGGAAGTGCTCTGGGAAAGAGCAGGGAAAAGGTAAAATGGGAATGAAATAAAGAGCATAAAGAAAGGAAAGCAGAAAGCAAAAACTCCAACTTGTGAACATCTGGGGGGAAGCACCTTACCATGCCTCCTCCCAAAGCTGGGTTGCAGTTGTGGGCTCAGGGGACTCTCAGTTTGTCATGAGGTTTGTCTTGTGGGAGAAACCAGTGAGGAGCTGAAAGGCACAAACCAAAAATCTGGTACTGAGGAAATATTTAAGTGGGGTTTCATTTTATTGCTTGGATTTATGTGCCCTGGACATGGAAAACTTGTTTTCTGTGCTCACCAGGGAAGTGTCTGTAATGTGAACAATCTCAAGTCATAATTCTTTGAAAAGAAAACCCATTATTTAATTACTCTTTTATTTAAGAGTGTGTGTTCCTGGCTTCTCGTTCAGGTTGATGCCAGACTAGGAAATGCAGGAAGGGAGCTGTGTCCATCTACAGTTCTCGAAATTCAGGAATGTTCTTGGTTAGGTTTGGTCAGGATTGCAGAGAATTAAAAGTCTCATCTGATTTGCATGTCTGTTAACAAGTGCATTCTTTTACTGTTTGAGGCTGTAGCAGTATTTTTATAAGTTTGTGCATTGATCACGTAGTAAATACAGAAATAATGTGTATTCCCAGGAATGTTCTGTGTGCTACACAACCTTTTCTAAACAACCTTTTCTATGGATATATTATACAATCAGTGGATATATTGTACAGTCTGTGTATCCCTGTAAAAGGAATTCTCTCCTTCCTGACCACTTGGATTTGTTGGATTTGTTATTGGGGATTGCTTTTGGCTGATTGCTCCTGGGATTGCAGAGAGCCCTGTGGAGTGCTCAGCCCTGTGTGCTGCTGTCTGCCAGGGGGTTGGGGTTGGAAATCACTCTCTGGAACTTTTTTCAGATCCAGCCTCATGGCAGGAGGGGCCAAACGAGGCAACACCAACCCCTGGCTCTTGGAAGAATCAGAGGAGACCAGAGGACTTGGCTTTGATGAGCTCAGGCAGCAGCAGAGAAGGATCATTGAAGGTACAAGAGCCTTTCTGGTTGTTCTGAGCATCTCTGGAACTCTGAGAGGAGCCTTTGAACCTCAACCCACCAACCTGGCTGAAGTTTTATTATTTATTATCTACAGATGTCAAGTGCAGCAGCTCCAGGCAGCTGCTTTCTGTATTTGCAGGAGCAGCATTGTGCTTGCAATGTTCTTAACTGGATGCAACTTCTTAAATTGAATTTTGGAGGTTGTGATTTTGCCCATATTCATGGCTCTGGTATGCAGTGTGATCACATAACTGCTCTGGGTGTAGGGGTGTTGCTGGGTGCATTAAATGTCTTGTTGAATTGGAATGAGGGAAGAATTAGCTCATCCAAAAAGGGTCTTTAGATTTTGGCCCTCTGCACCTATCAGGAACCTCCAACTTTGGAAGTGTTGGGAAACCTCAGTCTGAGGAGGTCAGGTGGTTAATGAGGTCATTTCCAGGCAATTCAAGTATTGGAAGTGATGGAATGAAATCAGATAAAGCCTGCTTCAGTCTGCATGGGAACAACTTGTGTGCAGCTGAGGAGAATCTGCATGGTCCAGGAGGAACCTCAGCTGCGTTTTTAATTGCATTATAGGTAATGGAGCTGAGGCTGAGTGAGGTGCTGGAGGGCTCTGGGAGTGAAGGGTGTCCTGGCCACCCCATCTGGGCATCCCTGCTGTGCCCTGGGCACCCTCTGCAGCTCCTCCTGTGCCACTCGTGGCTGCTCTGGGCAGGGAGAGGCTGAGGGGCTCCCTGGTGCCTGCAGGGCACAGGGATTTGGTTCTTCATACAGGAGTGTGGGAGCACATCTCACTTGGACTGCCCTCACCCCCTCTCCCTCTTGCAGCTTTAAAAATCTCTTTGAATTCTTTGGTGTTTGCATCACCTGTTTTCTTTTATTCATGTTAAAAGTTGCTCGGAAAATTTAAAAAGGCTAATCAGGAGCTCAGGGTGTGTGCCAGAAAGTCCCTGCATTTCTGATTGAGTAACAGCTGAATGTGAAATTCTTGGATTTCTTTTTTTGTGTGTTTTTTTTGTTTTTTGTTTTTTTTTGGATCCTCAGCAAAATGACCCAGCCAGAGCAGGGAAATTATTTACCCATCATTCACATTATTTCAAGAGTGCTGTTGTCATAAAGATTCATTTTCATGTTGTGTTAATGTGTTTTTCTTAATACATTTTAGCCCTTTAAGCACAGAGCAGAGTAGATTTTTTTTTTCTTCACTTCTGCCTATTTTATGTAGCCTGGCATTTATTTCAGCAACTTTCTAAAGTAGTTTAATATATTTTCCTGGTGCAGAACAAGATGCTGGACTCGATGCTCTCTCTTCAATCATATCCAGGCAAAAACAAATGGGGCAGGAAATTGGGAATGAGCTGGATGAGCAGAACGGTAAGGACAAGATTTGCCTCACTTTTATGTAAGACTGGGATTTGTTTTCTTCTGTCCTCACACAATTTCTCCTTCTGCCCACACAGCAAGTAGCTGACACTGAAGGTTTATGTTCAAGCACCCAGGGCAGATTGTGCCCATTCATCCCTTGATTTTGTTGTGCCTCCCTCCATCCCCTGTGGGCTGTGCCCAACACTTGGGGAGTTTCCCCAAGCCTGACTTTTGAACAAAGAGATTGGTGATTACTGCTCCAAAGCACAGAATTGATTCTGTGCTCCATCTTCTGCATTTTTCTATTTTATGACAGTTTTTGTGTGTTGCAGGGCTTCCTTCACTCGAGCATTCTCATTCTGTCTTTCCTGGTGATCTGAATGGAAATGCCTTGAGCAGTGACTAAAGGAGAAGCATTGCATTGCTTGCTCCAAATGATTGGGTTTGTGGCGTGAATGTAGATCAAATTAAGTGCAATATTGAACCAGGAGAGCACCTATTTCCTTTCAGAGGAGCCAGAGGCCAAGTGGAATTGCTCTCCTGTTTGCCACAGCTAGATCTGGGAGGGAGAGGAAATCCTTAGAATATGTCCTTGTTTATTAATCTTAAGGTTGTTAAGGAAGGGTTTGTGCAGCTGGGAGAGACTGGGCTCAGTGCTCTTGTCATATTTTGGTCCTCAGCCTCATGTGTGGAAAGACATTTTCAATTAGTGGTCTCATAGGTTTTTTTATTAATCATTGCTTGAAAAGTCATATTAATTGCTCTTTTTTTTGCTCTAAATAGGAAACAGGTGGGAAGCATGAGCATGTTTATGGACTCTCTGTGAAACTTTGGTTTCTCCTCAGGAAAATACACGATCTGTGTCCCATTTCTCTGTTGAGGGTTGGGGATGGTGCCCCAAATTCTTATGTTTTGGGGACCCTGAAGGTTCTGTGTTTTGTGCCATTGCATTTTTGTCAGACTTCTAGCAATGAGGCCATCTGTGAAACTGAGTATGTTTAACCCTCCTTTTTACAAATAATGCAAGTAGTGCTGGTGTTGTTTGTCTTACAGACAGTTACAAAGCCTTGAGCAAAATTCCTGTTTCCACAGGAGCTCTACCTTGGGCTAGAGGCAGCTCTTTCTCCAGAGAGGGAAACTCCTGAGTGCTTGGGCAAGGAAGAGGCGAGGGCTGTGTGTGCTGGTCCTGAGGAGGCTGCTCAGAGCTCAGAGCTGGAGCTCTGCTCGTGTCCCACAGCCACGGGCAGCAGACCTGCCAGCCCTGTGGGAGCAGCATCAGGAGAGGTTGAAGCTGTCCAAAAGAGTTGGGAAATAAAAAGAAGAGCCTGACTTGACAGATGTGGGGGCAGATCACTCAGCACTTGGCTTCATCCCTGCCGGGCAAGTGGAACTCCCATGTTTCCGCTGACTTTATGCAATCCCTTTTTTTTGGGCTTTTTTGGCGGACATGGGGGGGATAAGGTCAGACATTTTGTTGCCACTGGCACCCTGGAAAAGCTGGAGTCCTTAGCAATATTTTCCAGGGGCTGTTTTCCCTGTGCACATCTTACTTCATGCCCTTAACCATGAGCAGACTTTGCTCAGGCGCTGTGCCAAGCTCGTGTCACTGCTGCACGCTCAGGTTGATGAGGATAACTGCCCTGTAATTTCCCCTTCCCTGGAATCCCTTTCCTTCCCAGTGCTGAGTGATAATGGCATCGTCTGTATTGTGGGGAGGCAGGGGAAGTTCATCTTCATTAAGTGCTGCTTCAACATTTCTTTTTCCTCGAGTCAGATTTTCCATCAAACCGCCCCTTTCTGTGGGAAGCTTGACTTCCACTTCCCTGCCCTGCTGGGATGCTCCCACCTTCTGCAGCTTGTCCTGGTGTTAGGATAAAACCTGGCTTAGCTCAGAAGTAGCTGATAATGTGCATTAATGAATTAGGCTTTAGGGAGTTGGGTACTGATTTTCCAGAGCCGTTCCTCAGGTCTGCTTTTCCCATTCCGTGGCTGTCCGGAGGAGTTTGCTGTCCCAGCTCTCGGGTGCCAGAGGCGCTCTCCCCGCAGTGCCGCCTGGTGTAGCTGTGCCTTTGCGGATGCTCCGGGAGCCAGGCCTGCGTTAATTATGCAGAGTTTACTCCTCGCAGAGCCGCTGCGTGCGAGTTCCTTTGTGTTTGTTCAGTGACTGCAGAACGGTGAAACTTTGCCTTGGGGAGGAGGTGCCTGGGTGGTGCCTGCTCCTCCTGCTGGGCGGAGGGGCAGCAGGAGCTGGGCTGGAGCATCCCTGGCCTTCGGTGGCAGCTGTGCCCGTGGAAAGCTCCCTGGCCATGGAGCAGCCTGCCTTAGCTCCACATCCTTCCACTCATCTCTCCGAGAATCCTCTGGAGCCAGCAGGAAGTGCTCAGCTGGGATCCCTGCAGGATACCCTGGAAAAGCCCATTCCCTCGGAGGGATGTGGGATGTGGCTGGGTCCATCCTTGGCTTCTGTGCAGCATCCAGGTTTTAATGGGAGCCCCAGGTGGTTCTTTCCTCAGGTTTTCACTGTAGCCCTGTCCTGCAGATTTTATGACTCTGCTTAAAGCTGATGGGCCTTTGCAAACCTCCTGTAAAGGACACTTTGCACTGATGAGCAAAATAGAAGCAGGGTACCAGGAGATGTTGTTTCAGGAGATGTTGTTTTTTTTCCAGCCTCAGGAGTCTGCTAGCAGTGGGGATTAGCAGAAGAATTTTCCCATCATTAGCTCCAAATTTGGCCCCAGAAAAACTTTCTGTAATCCTTTCATCTGTTCCATGAAAAAAAAAAAAGAAAGAAAATAGTGTAAATGGCCTCTGGCCCTGGTGATGAGGCAATCTAATCTAGTGCAATAATTGTGGAAGAATGCTTTCAGAAATTGTGAATGCTGTTTGTTTTACCCTTATAGAGATGTTGTTTTCTCATTGTGACATGCTTGCATGAGAACGGAATACTCTGGAATGGATGGTAAATATTGGGAGCTTGCAAAACTTGCCCTGTTTGGTATTTTTCCCCTGTCAGTGTCCATTTGCTTTGCTCTGTTGAGGATGGGTTCTTTTGCTTCTGGCTCCTCTAAAGCTTAGGGCAGAGCATAAATAAGTTCATAGATAAGCTGTAAAGTCAGACACTTGATGTCTTTTTCCTGGTTAGGAGAATGCTGTTCCCAGTCAGGATGTTCTTAACCAGAACAGATCATTTTGAGTAAACTATCTCTCATTATAATCCTTTAATTATATGGTTATGTAACATTTTGAATTTCTTGTCAAAATCAAGTTTCTGAAACCAAGCAGCAATTGTAGCATTATGTTTTTGTTTACAATAGCTTAGCAAATCAAGGTTGCAGTGTCACCTCTGGCCACAGTGGGTGGCACAAAATCCTCCGGGGGGTGGGACTCGGCTCAGCCTAGTGTGAGATTTTTGTTACCCTGACACTGCCATCAAAGTGCTGGAGACTGGAGCCCTGTCCTGGCTCTGTACACACCTAGAGAACTGTCCTGGTATCATCAGTAAGGGGAGTGAAAACACTCCTGGCCATGCAAAGACTTGTTGGGAAGAGCCCCAGGAACGTGCTTCCCCTCTCCCAGGGCAGTGCTCAGCCCAGGCTCCTGGTGCAGCCAGCCCAGGCAGGATATGGACAGTAAAGGGCTTCTCCTAAAGATTATTTACATGCCTATTGCACAGTGCAAAAGCCATTTCACGTTTCTGTTTGTTAAGAGCATTTTTGCTGTAACACAAACTAATTAGCACTGTGTATGGGCTGTGCTTGAGTTATGAGCCTCAGAGCAGTGGGGCAGGGATGCATTGCATCATTGTTAGGATTAGTTTGTAAATCAGAAATGATTAAAGATTAAATTTTTAGAAATGTTCATCATCTTGTCTAAACAATATCTGTTTTCATCCTATGGAGCCCCAGCCCTGCCTGCCGTGACCCCCTTGGAGATGGCTCCAATCCTGTTTGGTGGGCTCTGGAGGTGTTCAGCATTCCCTGGGAAAGGCTGAGCACCAGCAGGTTCAGCTGTGCTGGAAACCTCCACAGGGGACCATATGTTTTTAATATTCAGATTTAAAATAACCATCCCTACTAGCCCGAGTGACCTCAGACCATGCAGATAGATTTTAATTTTGCTTCCTGAGCTTATTGTATGGAATAGAAACAACTTCAGTGTTACTGGGGCACTGCTCTGTCTTTATTGCACATTGTTTAAGTGGATTTAACCCTTCCTAGGGGAAAAATTAACTTTGCATTTTGTCTTGAGTGGTCTGAATAGTGCAATACTGAGGCTGGATATGAGCACTGAGAAGCTGGGAAGTGGCAGACCTGAGGTTACACGGCACTTCTTGGGTGTATTTTTTGTCCTAAAACACTTGTACGCTGTTTTCTGCAGGTCTTGCCTCATTTTGTGCATGGGACTTGATCTCTTTTGGGGTTGAACTGTGCATGTGTGGTGACAAAAGCTGTTTTTAAGGTCCCTGCCTCGTTCCTTCCAGGTGTGGCAAAACATTTAGAGAGTGAGGCCAGGCTTGTTAAGAGGGTTTGTGGCAGCAACAGCAGGGAAATGTTGCCTCAGAGCATAAAACCGTGCTGCTGCCCAGGAGCTGGGAGTGAAGGGGATAACCTGTCCCAACTGAGTTTTCCAGGAGAGCTTCCCTCTGTGTGCCTGACTTGGCACCCCAGGCTCGGGTCTGGAGCGCTGGCAGGGGCTGCAGGGAATCACGGAATGCTCGGGCTGGGAAGGGACCTCTGGGGATCATCTGGGCCAGCCCCAGGAAGGATTGGGGATGCAGAATCATTTCTGGGACACCTTTAACATCACCGAGCCAACTGTAAACCTGACACTGCCAAGTCCACCATGAAACCATGTCCATGAATTACATTGGAATATATTAAATATTGCTTGGAAAGGTAGATAAGGTTTGGTTTGCGTGTTGTTTTTTAAAAAAAGAGAGGTTCAAACTCTCTTTTACTGAAAATCCAAAATAAACCTTAACTATTAGTTTTCCTATTTTCCATCTGAGT